AAAAAAAAAAAAAAAGAAAGAAAAAGCATGGAGTCTTTTGTCTTTCCAGGGTGCTCAGAGAACAAAAATTCCCATGTCTTGGTCCATAGAGTTTCTGAATTTTTCCTTTGCAGAGTAAAACACTATTTTTAAGGGATTTTTTTCTTTTAAGAATCAATCTTCTCATGCTTTCCTCAAAATTCGGTTTACGTTGGTCTACAAACGGTGACCTCCCACCCCAGCGTTTCTTTTACAAACTACTTCTTTCTTAGGGTCCTTGGGTCCCAGCTCTGTTTCTTGAAACAATCTTAAAACTGGATGTGACAAAGAGCCCAGAAACTTACTGGAGATGGCAAAACCTGGTTGGGATGACTGTCCCTGAGGGAGGGTGCCGAAAGAGCAACAGGTTACTCCTGGTCCTGTGCTGCTTGGCCAGTCTGGGGTGGCTGTAATCACTGCCGTCTGCCCTGTGTCTAGCTGGTGTCCTTTTGCGTCTGGCTGATGCTGCCTGTCTTCCACTCCCTGCCACTGCCCTCCAATACATATAGACTCTTGGGGCCCTGAGAAATCTGGGTTTTAGAGAAATATTTTGAGGGTGACCTGAAAGAGCTTTGGTTTGGGCAGATTTGGAATGCAAATAAGGTGCAGAGATCTGGTGGGTGTTGTTAAGGAGATTTCTCTTTAATTATTGTCTGTAATAGCCCCTGTCCATACTTAAACCTTGAAAAGAGTGAGGGAGACATTCAGAGTGTATCTGAAGTGAAAACCAACGTTTACTGGGCCTACAGTGCTGGACCCTTTGTCTACGTACGTCATCCCATTACTGTTTTATGCTTAACTGTGGTCACCACAGAAATTCTGACAGTAATTCAGGAGGAATAAGAAGGTACACTCTTGGGGCACCCGGCTGGCTCAGTCAGCAGAGCATGCAACTCTTGATCTAAGGGTCATGAGTTCAAGCTCCACATTGGGCATATAGTTTACTTAAAAAGGCGGGGGGGGGGGGCGGTGAAGAAGATAACACTCTTTTTCACTAAACCAGTGTTGTCTGTTAAACTGAGTTGTCTCTCCATGTATTATTTAGGTAACAGCTATTTATTGGATATGGCATTGGTGCCAGAAGACACATTTCCATCTCAGTGGGTTACAAATTTTGGAGGGAGATAAAATATACAGTACTTGGCGGTAGTTATGAAAAGCACACTGGGCCCAGTGGAAGGGGCAGATGTGTGCTAAGTCTGTTAGATCTATGGCCTCAGACAACCTAAGTCCCAGTTTCCTCATTTGTGAAATGGGGATAATACCACCTAATTTAAAGGAATAACTGAAGAGGTGTTTTTTCTTTAATTAACAAAAACTTTTTTTTTTAATGTTTTCATTTATTTCTGAGAGAGAGAGACACACAGCGTGAGCACGGGAGGGTCAGAGAGAGAGAGGGAGGTACAGAATCTGAAGCAGTCTCCAGGCTCTGAGCTAGCTGTCAGCACAGAGCCTGACGCGGTGCTCTAACCCACGAACCGTGAGATCATGACCTGAGCCGAAGTTGGGCGCTTAACCGACTGAGCCACCCAGGCGCCCCTGAAGAGTTTTTAAAGATTTAATGCATATAAAGTACTCAGGACAGTGCCTGGAATATAATGGAAACCAAATAAGTGCCTCCTGCTATTTTTGTTAGTTAATGAAAAGAATAGATAACATAAACCCCTTAGAGCCTATTCCAGTGATGTTGCCATGTTATTTAGACGTGTTTTTTATGTTCTACTTTGTGGCACATTTTTGTCTTTTAAGAATGAATTTGATTTTTTTTTTTAATTTTTTTTTTTTAATGTTTTTTTATTTCTGAGAGAGAGAGAGAGACAGCGTGAGCGGGGGGCGGGGTTCAGAGAGAGAGGGAGACACAGAATCTGAAACAGGCTCCAGGCTCTGAGCTTGCTGTCAGCATAGAGCCTGACGCGGTGCTCTAACCCACGAACCGTGAGATCATGACCTAAGCTAAAGTCGGACGCTTAACCCACTAAGCCACCCACGTGCCCCAGAATGAATTTGATTTTTGAAAAGATGTAGGTATGAATATTTTCGTCAGTGGTGGTACAACCTCATAAGTGAGATGTGAACATCGTATAATATTTATGGATCTCTCTGATTAGAAACTGGATACGGAGGCAGTTCCCAAAGAGGCGTTCCCAATTTTTTGAGCAATGAGACTGTCTATCACTGGAGATATGTAACTTCTGCAGATGAACCTACTAAACATATTTTGAGAGTCACTCATTTTAGTCTGTACTACTAAGTGCTAGCTTGGGAGAACAAAGAAGGAGGGGATTAGAATTGAGTGCATTGATTTGGGAAAGCCTGTAGAAGAATAGGGCTTGAGTTGAACCTTAAAGGAGAGAGGTAGGGTTTGGTAGTAAGAGAAGAGGGATGGCATTTACGAGTCTTTGGGCCAGTCACAAGAACAAACCGTATGTGGTTTGGTTTAGTCAGCAAATGTTGATTGCCTGCCTAACTGTGTGCTGTACATTTGGCTGAGTTTGGGAACTCAGATGAATTGACACTGCTCTGACACTGCCCTGTGGAAGAGGCACATAAAATGAACAACTATAATACAGTATACTGGTGTAGTAGATACAGAGGCGACAGTGTGAGCGTGGAGGAGGTATCCCCAACCCAGCTGTACGAATCAAGCAAGGAAGAGGAGATGGTGAGATCAGGCTGCCTGCCGTAGTAAGTTACTGTGTAAGAAAGGAAGACGAGGGGTGCCTGGGTGGCTCAGTCGGTTAAGCGTCCGACTTCGGCTCAGGTCGTGATCTCATGGTTCGTAGGTTTGAGCCCCGTGTCAGGCTCTGTGCTGACTGCCAGCTCAGAGCCTGGATCCTGTTTCAGATTCTGTATCTCCCTCTCTCTTTGACCCTCCCCTGCTCATGCTGTGTGTGTGTCTCTCAGAAATAAATAAAGCATTAAAAAAAGAAAGAAAGGAAGACGATGGGATGAGACCCAGCTGGGGTTGAAGCTAAGGATTTGAAACTTCATGATATAGGAAATGCAAAGCCTTTGGAAAAGTTTGAGCAAGTATTTGGGGAGATTAGTGAGTTTGTAAGCAGACTGGATTGGCATGATAAGAGATGAGAAGCAAGGAGGACATTTGGGAAACTTTTTGCAGTAGGACAGGCTAAATATGAGAAAGCCTTGAATTAGAATTGTGGAGGAAGGCATGGAAAGGCAGGGAAAAGAACAGGAATAGGCAGAGTTCTTGGCTGACTCGTCACAGGAAATGAAAAAGGTCACACATTCATTCTGAACTTTGGGGTCTGATAGAATGTTGCTGCTGTTAAATAGGGGTGAGAGGAGGGTAAGTATGATACTTGACCTGCTGCCCCGGGGACTCACAGAGCCGGGCTCTTTGGGAACGCACCAAGGCGCTTAGCATGTGTCTCTTAACCCCTCCCTCCCTCCCCCCCACTCCTTACCATCTCTGCCTCGCAGCCTAATTGCTTTGGATTTCATTGCAGCTCCTCCACCCCCGCCACCCATGATCCGAAATGGTGCCAGGGATGCTCCCCCTCCCCCACCACCATACCGAATGCATGGGTCAGAACCCCTGAGCCGAGGAAAGCCCCCACCTCCTCCCTCAAGGACGCCAGCTGGGCCACCCCCTCCTCCTCCACCACCCCTGAGGAACGGCCACAGAGATTCTATTACCACTGTCCGATCTTTCTTGGGTGAGTAGCGAGCTGTTTTAGTCTCACAGTTCCTGTGGTGACTTCACTAATTCCAGTGGCCAGTCTAGAATGGGAATGGTCACTGGGTACCCTTTGATCACAGCAGTTCCTCTCCTAATTTCCCCTCAGACTTCTGGGCCCCTTCCAATGACATGCTTTCCTTTTTACAAATTCCAGGCATGATCGCTTTGGAAGAGATTGAAGTAAAATCAGTAGGTGTTGTGTTAACTCCAGAGCCACTCTCTTGCTCCTCAAGGATCATTTGTGATTAACTTTTAGGTCAGAGACTTTATCCTCTTCAGGATTATTCAGACAGGAATTATGTATCTTCCTAGGAAGAAGAGGGCCTTTCTAGACCTTTAGAAGACAAACAAAACATACAACTGTACACAACATTAATCTAATAATACAAAGCCACTACCTAGCTGTGTTACTTTGAGGAAGTCACTTCATTTCTCTGGGCCCCATTTCCCTCATCTGTGAAATGAGGAGGTTGAGATCAGGAGTGTATCATATTTAACTTTTTCAAGGTTATAAATGAATCTTAGGCCCCACTTAAGAGATTCTAATTCATTAGGTTTAGAGTGGAGCCCCAAGCAAAGGTTGTCCACAGGTTTTATCAGACCCTCTGTTGAGGACCCCTGGAAAGATCTGTACAGTCCCATTCAACCCTAACACTAGATTCTTTAATGGTTGACCCTTCACTCCTGCTCTAGTCTGTTCCTAATAGGCGGACCAGAGTTTTTGGAATGTGATTGAGTAATGCCCATAGAGCCTTCTTGTAGAGGGGCCATGGAAGGTGGGAGTGGAGGCTGTGAGAGGGCTCTCCCAACTGTGTTGTAGAGTTTAAATGAGGGTAATTTGGACCAGAGGGAATTATCTGGTCAGATCTCTCACTAGCTGGTGACAAAAATTCCCATTTTAGGTTAAACTGTAGCAATCTGTGGATTCAGTTCAGTTGGTTTCCCATGGTGACAGTCTCTAAGATGACTGTGTTACTGAAACAGAACTATATTTCTTTCTCTTCCCATGTAAACAGCTGGGCTCCTTTCGTGTTAACTGTCTGGTTTTTGGTGGAAAGATTTGAAGAACCAATTCAAAGATTCATTTCTTAATGAAAAGAGCCTTTAGGCACAGCCTCTGTGCATACGAGGTGCCTAGAAAGATGCCTCTTGCTGGCCTCCGGAAGCCTGGTTCAGTGGGCCAGGCAGCCCCCTCATGGTCCATCAGAATGCATGGGAACTTAGCAAGGGGAGGGTCAGAAGTGGTACAGAGTATGTGGGAGCACAAGGAAGGGTAATAGGAATTAATTTTCTGTTCTTTTCCCAGATGATTTTGAGTCAAAGTATTCTTTCCATCCAGTAGAAGACTTTCCTGCTCCAGAAGAATATAAACACTTTCAGAGAATATATCCCAGCAAAACAAACCGAGGTGAGAAGAGCAGCCGTGAAAGTTTTTCCATAATTCCATAGAATGTAGAATTGGCGTGTTTTTCTTAGGTTAAAATTTGCTTCCCCTCATCAGCATTTTCTTAAGAAAACAAAGAGACAACAAAAGCAGTCCTTGAATTTTAAAGGTCAGCTTAAAGAGTTTTCTCTCTTATTTCAGGAATGTTTGGGTTATTCAGGGTCTGGTGGTTAACCTTCTATATGTGGTTTTCATTTTTATATTTTTCAGCTGCCCGTGGAGCCCCACCTCTGCCGCCCATTCTCAGGTGAAGCCTGGCTTGGTCCTGTTCCTCAGGAAAAGGATGGACCCTCTCCTCTGCTCAGATGGTCCCTTCCATTCCCCTGAAACCTGCATGAGAGCTCCTGACGTGTTTCTCCGGTGCATCCCACCTCTAGACACCAAGCGTCCTCCCCACTCACCTCCATCTATGCATCTCGTCTCTAGACTTGGTGATTGGACTCTTTATACTGACAGCGGGGTCTCAGACCCTGTCTCCGTCCCTCCTCTTGCAAGCCCTGCTAGCCAGATGAGGAATAAGCTCCCATGTCTCCTGCTTTCCTCTTGGGGAAAGGTGCCTTGTTGTGATGAATGAACTCATTGTTGGGGCAGGGTGGAGAATGGTACTCCTACTGTCTCCTACCCACTGTGGGGGAAGCTTGGCGAGTATATTCTATTTCATCATTTAGGAGGCTGGCATGGCCAGGACTTCTAGGGGGAGGTGGGCATTTTTAGTGAAATGGGAAAGGGATTTGCAGAGAAGTGATCTGTTTTAAAGGTCATGTTTGAAGAAAGGGCAAAGGAATGGTTCTCCTTTCTTTTTAGGGGTATTTTGGTTTTGCTTTCACCCCACCCCATGCCACCACCCCAGGGAGAAGTTGGATATTACAAATACTAAATACTAATCAGTTGAACTAAACATCTAATAAAAAGAGAGGGTGAAATAAACTGGGGATCCTTTTAGAGCTAGTCAGTTTCTGTGCAGCAAAGGGACCAGGTGTCATTTGCGTCCTCTGGGACTCCTTGCCCATTTGCCCATTTCCCTCAGGGTGCTGAGGCTGCGAGATATTTTTGCTCTCTGCACCGCCCACTCCCTCAAGAGAAAAGTCACATTATTTCATTCAGCACAGATTCACAAATTCCAAAAACCTGCAGTAGGAGATGGGAAGATACAGGCCTTGGCCTTGACACCACTTCAGTCTTTTCTGATTGGCCCTTTCAGTCCTGCTCAGAAACTTCAGCCCCTCATGGGTGCTCTAGGATGACAAGGGAAGGGTGAAGCACCTCATAGAAGGGATCAGCTCTGTGGGCTTCGAAGGACTTTAAGGCCTGCTTATTCCAACGTTCACAGCCCATCTGGCTGAGCAGGTTCTTTCTGTTCCCTTTCTCCACCACCCTTGCCTTCCCCAGGCTGCAGGGTTGTTCAGCCAAATAGAGAAGGGAGAGGAAGTCTATAGGAATAGTCAAAGATTCCTCTGTTCCAAGAAGCACAAAGTCTTTGGTGAAGTGTGCTTCAGTCCAGTTGATCTTCCCTGGCTGCCAGCAATATGTTTCTTTGTCTTCCAGGTCCTAGTTAAAGGGCAGAGAGGAAATGGGCCCCCATCTGGGTCGGAATTGAGCTCGGATGGTGCAACAGGGACTTCCCCATTCTCCAACAGCAGGATGGGGCTCCTGGGTTCCATACATGGGATGGTTGGTTTGCTACAGCTCTTGCCAAGTGCAAAGACTGCTCAAAGCTTGCAGTGAGAGCAGGGGAGCCAGGGGTGTTTCTTGAAATGGATGGAGAGAGTCGATTAAAAATTCTCACCAGGTACATCAACAGGTTTAAACTGCCTTAGGGACCTCTCCAATCTGTTGGATCACAGACTAAGGATCTGTGCATGGTGCCCAGTGAAACCCAAGTCTTCCCAGTGCTAGATGGGAGAGCCCTCAACTTCGATTATTTGTATGGGGTCTGCTGTCCTTTGCCATCCCCTGGGCTACATTGTCTCTTGGGACACACCATGGTGAGGTCTGTCGCCAGACCTTTTCTAATCATTCTCTTTATCGTTTTTATTTTCAAATTTGTTAGCAGTTATCTCCCAGCAGTATCCCCAGCACCCTAAAGCCAGGAGAGCTGAGAACGGGGCACTAGTGGAGGGAAAAAGAGAGAGTTCCAAGAGTTAGTCCTGCAGCAGAGTTCCAGGGAGATGCTAACCAGTTACTGAACTTGGACTGTGAAGTCTTCCCATTTGTTTTTGAAATGGGAGTTGATGCCTTTTGTACAATGTTATCAAAGTATATCCTTTTTTTTTTTTTCCCCTCCTTTACTCAAACGTAGAGCATCAGAGTAAGTATCACAAGTGAAAGCCAAACCCCAGCTTTTCTTTGGGGCTGATAATCTTCCTCCTCTGTGACCTGCTGTCCCTCATATTCCCCAGCATTTGGGCTCTGTCACATGGGTATTGATTGTATTCTCATTTTCTTGGCCTCATGACAAAAGGCCTGGGCCTAGAGCTAATCAGAGGGATTTTCTTCTTGAGAGCATGTTGATGGCACAGTACCTACTTAAATGTCTTTGCCTTATACGTTATTTGGTCCCTCTGTTAATAACAGATTTATTGTCATGTATATTTACTATTGAAGAATGGGAATGTGATCCTCATAGTTATTGATCTATTTTGTATGTTGTAAAAAGCCTGTAATATAGATTTAAGGTGGGCTGGCCGCAAGAGCACTAAAACTTCTCACCTTTTAAACTGCTCTTTTTATCTGCTTGTGGGAATGTTGTCTCTTCAGTGGAAGATTGGGTGGTCTCATGTTGAGACTGTTGCCCAGTCCCATTAACCCCCTTATTCCCTCCCAGAAGGAAGAGACATTGCCCAGCTAAGCATCAGGAAGCTGTGTTAAAAGCCCTTGTGTGGGTTTGGGTTTATGATGTTTTTCTCTAGTGGGGAAAAACTTAATTGTTTCTTTCCACCCTTTCTGGAAAGCAGAGCAGTGGCTTCCAAGTTTTTAAATGAGCTAGATGCCCCTCTTCCCTCTTTTTTGGTTGCCAAACCTGGATCAAATGACTTTGATATTCCAGGTGTGGTTTTTTCTGTTGTGGGGATTTCCTCCAGCTGCAGAGCCCCATCTTCCTTACAGCCTGGGCTCCCAGAGTAAGGGCACTTAGGGCTACCCCACCCGATGGGTGTGAGGCTGCTGTCTCCAGAAATGCATCCCAGCACTCTCAACTGACAAACGCAAGGAGACTAGCCACTGGCTGTTGCACTGGGGCATCCCTTCCCCCTCACAGCTTCCCAACTTGAAGCCCAGATTTACCTCCAGGGAGAGGTGAGAAAAAATTGTAAATAGACTTGCTACAGAGCAACTCAGGGTTGGGGTGTGTTTTAATTCTCCTGATCACTTGAAATAATCTGTAGGCTGAGTGCTTATGGGAGTGGGGGAGAAATGTGACTCCAGGGTCCTTACCTTCTGCAAAGCTTTGGGGGTGGAGTACAGGGCATCTGAGGCCCTTTGATGGCACTACACTGAGCTGTCTGTCCTTCTGGAAACCCAGCCTACAATCAAACCACGAATCCGATTCACATTCCAGTTGTAGCCTGCCTTTCCCTACTGAATCTCAGTCCCTGGCCATGTGGTCAAGGTGGCTTTCTGTAAGCCACCCTGATTTAGGGAATGGAAGGTGTTACAAGTCTACCTTCAAGACTCATCTCTTAAAAGCAAAATATAACAAAACTACAGCCACCTTCAAAACACATACAAAAAGAAGGATAACTAACTGAAGGAAGGATTTGGTTCCATTCAACTCCACGGTCATTGTGCCTTTACTTGTGTTAGATTTCTCTGCTTTCTTCCTCTCTCTCTTTGAAGCAATTAAAATCTTCCTTGATAACTGCTGTTTCCTTCTTTCCACTCTGGTTTCTAACAGCTTAGTGGGTTTCCTCTCTAATTGTCTTAAATCATTCCACTGGTGGCAGAGGGGCCAAGTCTTCTTTTCTCATGTCTAACCTTTGTTCTTTCCCACGGTGACCAGCGTGAAAGTCATAGTCAACACTGAATAAAAGACTGGAGTGACGTGTGAAGAATGTGTGTGTGTGTGTGTGTGTGTGTGTTCATCTTTGTGTGTGGATGTTTTCTTTTTAAAAAATAATTTATTGTATGATTTATTTTGGAGTTCTGTTCCAATCACAGTGCTCCCTCGCCCAGTTGGCAGTGATTTTGCCCCCTCCCGCCCCCCTCAATGTATACTCTGGTCTCAGGCTGGATTCTTTGGTACGTTTTTTTTCTTCTGGATGCCATGCAGTTTAATTAAACCTTGCTTAAAAACAAAAACAGAAACCTGAAAACTGTGTACTCTTGTCTGGAACACTGCCTCAAGTGGTGGCATAGAGAGGGGAGAAAATCTGTTGCCTCCGGTGAGTGTAGTGGTTGACTAGGACCTCTGAGAAGGTAGATGCACTGAGTTGGGTGGAAGCATCTGGTAGCTTCCCAGGCATTTTTTCTCCTCCCCTCCTGCTGTGTTTTGACTACCACAGTTCCTTAGCCATGCTCACCTGGGTGACTGATAGATTTGGTCGTCTGTGTTTGCCACCTACCTGATTTCAGGGGACCCAGGGGACGCTCTGGCTTTGCCCTCTCCTTCCATCTCTTAGGATTCTTTCTACCTGTGTTGCATGGGGGTCTCACACTGAGTGATGTACGGAAGAAAAGGTGGGGGCAGAGCAAACAGACTGTGCGTGTCTATTTTTATTGGCTTTTTTTTTTCCTTCCCCACTTCTTACATTGATATCTTATCTGGCTTTCTTGAACTTTGACTTGGGGTATAAAAACTGAACCAGACAGTCTCTGCTTACTGTGGTCAACTGACATAATCACCACCAAGACTTAATGAGCTTACCTTGCACTTTTCATCACTAGCTAGGAAAGGTCTTGAGATTATTTCCTATACTGATTCATAATGGGTGTGTGTATGAATCATTTTCACATAATTTAGATATAAAAACCTATGAGAGGGAGGCGGGAAAGGCCTCCTTTCATTTTCATCCATACTTAACAGATTGGCTGAATCCCTGATTATTTGACCCATCATTGTTATTAATATGATTAATAAACTACCTATTTATTGATTTAATTGTTCCTCCTGTGACTTTAAATAGCCCTCAAATGGAGCTTGTGTGAATGACCCTCAACTTCACTTCCTAACTCTGTAAGGTTTTCTCTGTTCTATTGGGATGGTATTGCTAGTCTGTGTGTGTGTGTGCGTGCGCGCACGGGCGCATGCACGAGCTCAAGCAAAAGCAAGGATGTTGGATGGGTCCTTCCAGTGTGATTTGATTCCTTCCCTCATGCTACTGTGTCAGTTCAGCAGGGAATAAGGACTCTAGTGTGTCAACTCTCATTATTACTGAGACACAGCTGCTTACTGTGAATGTGCCTGTTTAAGCATTTCCTGGCCCCACCCAGCCACAGCTGCAAGGATGCTGCCTGTCTCTGACTTTGTTACCCTGCAGACAGAGGTAAGAGAAGGAAAATATCAACCTTAGGACTCTAACCGCCCCAGAGGAGAACTACGGGGACATGCTTCACATCTGACATCATGACATCACTGCAGCCCATTCTGGATCGTTTTTACACGTAATTGAATTAATTTTCCACTCCTAGGTTATGGGGTGTGACTATGTTATCCAGTCACAAAAAATGTTTGTGAAAAAGGTGGATATCTATTTGGCAGGAATGTCCTTTCCATTCTTTCAGCAAGCATGTATTGCATACTTAGTCTGTGCCGGGCACCTACAATATGAAGATGAATAGGATGTGGTCTTTGCCTCCAAGGAGCTCAGGATCTTCTAGAACACTTCAGGACAGCTGCCAGGAGGAACCTATGTAGGTTATTAAAAGGCTTTATGGCAGTTAGCCAGGGAAGAAGGATGGTGTGTGGCATTCCAGACAGGAACAGCAAGGACCGAGGCACAGAAGCAAGAAACGGTCTGGTGGCATGTGCAGCATGTTCCTGTAGTATCGGAAAGGGAGAGCTTCATGTAGGTAACCTTTTAGAGACCTTTCAATCCAGACTTTCTGTGATTCTCTGCCTGCTTCCACAGTGACCATTTAATCTTGTAGGCTTATCTTGGACCATTGTTTTTCTTCCTGGTGAGGGTTTCCATAGGCTCCAGGATGTATATACTACATACTCATTGCTTCCTGGGCTCCCTCTAGCCCACTGTAACTGAGGGAGGTTGTTTGCCACTACCCCTTTAAGCTGGCTAGACACACGTTACCATTTCAGGTTATTAAGGACAGTTTTTAGGTGCCCAGGTTTTCAAACTACGAACAGTAAAGATTGCTTCCTGGGTTCTATTGCTCTATTAAGAGATCAGAAATACCATCAGGTGGAATAGCCTCCATTCTAAGGTAACACTTTTTCCATTCATGGCAGCTAGTCTCTTACAGTTTTCAGCTTCTAGAGAGACTTTCCAAAATGTGCTCCTTCACCATCTCATCCTGTTTATTTACTTTTAAAGTTTTATTCCAGTGATCTCTACACCCCATGTGGGGCTGGAACTCACAGCCAGATATCAATAGTTGTATGCTCTTCCGACTGAGCCAACTAGGCACCCCTATCCCTTCCTATTTAGAAGTACACATTTAGAAAGTTTCTCACTTAGGGCTTGCATCTGTCTAATACTTCCCCTGTGTTTAAGTGATCAAGAGTTTGGTCTTCCTGTCATACTTCCTGAGTTCAAATGCCAGTTCTTCCACTTTACTGGTTGTGTGACCTTGGGCACATTTACTCAATCCCTCTATTTCAATTTCCTCATTTGCAAAATGAAAATAACATCAATTTAGTGCGGTACTGGTGAGAATAAGGTGATAATAGGTGAAATAACTTGAGCTCAGTGCCTGGTGTACACTTAAACACTCAGTATTTGCGCTCATCTCCTGTATGAACTAATTACAATTAACTGATGATTGTAATAGCATTGTTTTCCTATTTCTCAGCTCCATTGCTCTATTTCATTTGAAACTGAAGAATGAAAGATAAATGCTTGCCATCACCTAGAATTGGGTTTTGGCCTTCAAGGGAACCTGAGGGTTAGCTAGGTTATTAGCTTTGGAAGCTGGCCTGTAAATTACTCCTCTAATTTATATTTTTCATTAAAAGCTCAGCTTGCCTCTACTTCTATAGCGGTCTTCTCTGGCCCTGAAACCCCACTGTTTAGCCATAAAGCAAGGTTTTAAAATGAAGAGTCCATAATTCTCTCAACTCCCCACAAGGTGTGGATTAATGGAATGAATGATAAGAAGCTGCACTGGATACTTTATAACAAAAGCAAAGATAAGCCCTATTTCTTTCTTTCTTTTTTTTTAATATTTATTTATTTCTAGGAGAGAGAGAGAGACAGCGTGAGCAGGGGAGGGTCAGAGAGAGAGGGAGACACAGACTCTGAAATTGGCCCCAGGCTCTGAGCTGGTAGTCAGCACAGAGCCCGACGCGGGGCTCAAACCCAGGAACTGCGAGATCATGACCTAAGCGAAAGTCGGACGCTCAACCGACTAAGCCACCCAGGCGCCCCGAGATAAGCCCTATTTCTTACCTTTGAAACAAATCAGGGAGATACTGCGATTGAAATGTAGTGTATATATTTATGTATGTGTAGAGCTTTACAAAAAAATCCCTCGGTTTGGGTGTCAGGAAATCTGGGTCCTAGGCTCTTCACTGCTACCAAGATGCTGTGACCTCTAACCCTCTGCACGTTCGCTTTGTGCCTTGCAGGGTTGAACATGCCTGGCACCCAGAACCGCCCCTCCAAATGATAGGCATTATGTAGTAGCTCTCTGAATATGCATACCATTAGGATAATAAAAGTGGGTACGTGCGCCAGTGAGAAGAGGCAACCACATCTCTATACCTCCCCCGGGAAAGAAGAGAAGGAAGCTGAGTCGCGCTGCAGCTAAGACTACACCTCCCGCTACCCTTTGCGGCCGGCTGGTTCGGCCTTACCCAGAATCGCTCCCTCCGCAACCGCTCGTCTTTCCGCCGGAAGCCCCGGATGTAGAATCCCTCGCGGCTCGGTGGGCGTGGTCGCGCAGTGGCTCCGAGACCTGGGGTTCTCTTATTGGTTGTGGTCCTTCGGACTGGATGGGAAGCGAAGGAGGGGGCGTGGCCCAGGGCGCGCGGCGCTCTAGCGACCGCCAATCAGAAGCCTGGTCGGGCTTTGGCGGGAGACGGGAAAGCTGCGGCTTTGCAGATTTGGCGCGAGCGCGGCTGGGCTTTACTGCAGCTGGTGCGTAGTTTATTCCCGAACCTGTCTTGAGTCCCAGAAGCCGTGTGCGAGAGACGTGAGAAAGAGCCAGCACTGAGGTACTCAGCCTTGTGAGGCGGATTAGAGAGGGTTGCCTGGGGAGGCCTAGGGTCTGGGAGCCAGAGGAGTTGGGAGAGCGGCTACGGCGAGGGCCGCTGCTTCCCCTGAGGCTCGAGGTGAAGTGAGGGGAGAAGAGCTCTGGTCGCTGGGGGTCTGGGGTCGGGGTGAGGGAAGGGAGTAGCCTGGCCGTCGTGCGTGGAATAAAGGGGCTGAAGGAGGGAGATGTTTCGGAGTGGGACCGAGAGGGTGTGGCGTGGGGACTGAGTGCAGGGCGGAGGGAAGCCTGTAAATGTGGCAGGGTGCTGCGCTAAGCTGGCGATAAAGACACACCCGGTACCCGGAGTGAGGGAATTAGAAGTCCCGGTAGAAGTCAGTTTTCTTGCATCGCTCAAGTGGTTAAGAAATTGGGCTTTGGATCCAGAATGCCTGGCTTGCTATGACTTTGGGCCTCCGGGCCTCCGAGCGTTCTTCTGTAAAATTCGAGTCAGAGTGCCGACCTGTAGGGTGTAAAACTTAAATGAGTCAGTGCCTAAGGGGCCCCGGGCTGGCTCAGTCGAAGAGCATGCGACTCTCGTGATCTCGGGGGTCGTGAGTCGGGGGCCCACGCTGGGTGCAGAGATTCCTTAAAATAAAAATAAAATGTGTAGAACAGCGTCTTAACATAGTGGGTAGACAGCAAGTGTTACTATTGCTCCTATTTGGATGTGAAGTAGAACTGAATGCTAAAATATTGTTAATAATTTACTTATGAAATGTTGATCATCGTTTGGCTAAGCAACTTCAGTGTTAGCTATTTTTCCTTCATTTTTACACATCGACAGACTGCCCTGTTCTCTCTTTTTTTACCCAGCTGAGTCGCCATCATGCCTCAAACCCGATCCCAGTCACAGGCTACAATCAGTTTTCCAAAAAAGAAGCTGTCTCGGACATTGGACAAAGCTAAAACTTCTGGTGACACCAAACTAGAACTGACCAATGTCCAGGCCTCACGCCGTTCTTGTGTAAAAATTCTGCCTCTCAGCCCCAGAAAACGTCTTGGTAAGCTAATAGAAGTATAACTTTTTGATTGGTAGCTCTTTTTTTTGTTTAATTTGAGAGAGAGAGCATGTACGAGTGAGGGAGGAGGGGCAGAGGGAGAGAGAGAATCTTAAGCGGGCTCCATGCTCAGCTCCGAGCCCCATTCCGGGCTCAGCCCCACCACCCTGGGATCCTGACCTGAGCCCAAATCAAGAGTCGGATGTTCAACTGACGGAGGCACCGAGGCGCCCTGTGACTGGTAGCCCTTGACCTCTCTTTTCTCAATAATAAGATGCCTAGTCCTTTGTAGGTGCTTCCTAAGTTCAGTTAAGACCACTGTGTTCTTACCTATTTAAAAAAAAAAAAAAGACCACTCTATTCACTTTGGTTATTTTCAAAATAGTTGCTAAATTCATTTACTGAACTTCAGAGTTAAGCCACTTGTTGAGGTCACTTTCTGAACTGCCTAACAGTTCTGGTCTTCAGTTCCTTAATTTTGAACTGAGTTGTCACTGTTTTAAATGATTTGCAGTTACGTATAGTAACATAGTATTTTGAAACTTTAACCTCACTACTGGTGACATCAATAGAAGCAGGTGATCAGGTGATATTCTTGTTTTTAGAACAATAGTTGGTAATCCTTTCTTGTTTTAGATCTTTTTTTTTTTTTTTTTTTTTTATAATGAAGAGTGATGTGGCAGTCAGTATCGGAAGACATTTTTGGTTGTCACAACCGAGGGAGTGCTACTGGCATAGTGGATAAAGGCCATGGATGCTGCTGAACATCCTACAATGCACAGGACAGCTCCCCACAAGAATTATTTGGTCCAAGATTTCAATGGTGCCAAGATTGAGACACCTTGTTTTAAAAGAATCTTAGAATTTTCATCCCAGTAATTCCGTTTGCTTTCTGCTGAATAGTAGTAAGCTTCAGTGGTGCCATCTGGTGGCCAATATTTGCTTCTAGATGAGAGGCATTTTATTTTGGTGGTTTTGATTGGAAATTTGACTCTTGCTGGGAAAAGCAGAGATCTTCCAGGTCCTTTTACTATTCACTACTATGAATGACCATGTTTTTATTTTAATACATTTCAGGTGATGATAATCTGTGCAACACTCCTCATTTACCACCCTGTTCTCCACCAAAGCAAGGCAAGAAAGAGAATGGCCCCCCTCGCTCACATACACCTAAGGGGCGCAGGTTGGTGTTTGACAATCAGCTGACAATTAAGTCTCCTAGCAAAAAAGAACAAGCCAGAGTTCACCAAAACAAAATACATTCCCCGCTTCGAAAAGGTCAAGAGATTACAACAAATTCCGAGCAGAGATGTCCACTGGAGAAAGAATCTGCGTGTATGAGACTGTTCAAGCAAGAAGGTTCGTTCTTACATGGCAGCTGTTAGTACGGCCTCGTAAACCAGGCTGGTGACTCCAGATGAAACCCAGTGGATCTTCTCAGTCACCTCTGTTGTATCTAATTGTCCTTTCACGTCTGACACAGGTACTTGCTACCAGCAAGCAAAGCTGGTCCTGAATACAGCTGTCCCAGATCGGCTGCCTGCCAGGGAAAAGGAGATGAATGTCATCAGGAATTTCCTGAGGGAGCACATCTGTGGGAAAAAAGCTGGAAGTCTTTATCTTTCTGGTCCTCCTGGAACTGGAAAAACTGCCTGCTTAAGCCGAATTCTGCAAGACTTCAAGGTACACCGAGAGTCTGAAATATGAAGCTCTTGCTAAAATGACACTTGGTTATTAAGGGTTAAGAAAGAGTAGATGTGCTTAGGAGATTGAAGTCTCCCCTCACATAAGATGTTTTTAGTTTCATTGTCTAAATCTTTCTAAATGAAAGTAGAGCTTACTCTCTTATATACAGTTAACTCCTCAGAGTTACCACTTTCGGTCCCATCAAACCTTTATCTAAGGGCAAAATATCTCTCATGTTTGCATTTTTCTAGAAGGAACTGAAAGGCTTTAAAACAGTCATGCTGAATTGCATGTCCTTGAGGAGTGCCCAGGCTGTATTCCCAGCTATTGCTCAGGAGATTTGTCAGGAAGAAGTATCCAGACCAGCTGGAAAGGACATGATGAAGAAACTGGAAAACCAGATGACTGCAGAAAAGGGCCCCATGATGTACGTATTGCTCTGAGGCATGTTGCTCTGTAAAAATCTGCAAGGTCTCTTGCCCACAAACTCATAGCCTAGTCTCTTGAATTTATCGGTTTTGTACAAAAAAAAAGAACATTTCCTTTGTTTGCTGTACAAGAGGTAGTTACATATGCTTAAAGGGAAAGAAGAGAGGAAAAATATACCTTCTAGTTATAAATTGGGAAAAATGTTTTTAAACTAATTGCTGGAAAAACCTGTATGTTATTTTTGTGTGATGGTGGGGGTATCCTTGTAACAGTGACTGGAGAGAGGACAGCTTGTGACCTTCAAACTGGTGTCAGCTGTAGGAATGTGACTTGGAGTCAGCCCAGATCTCACAGATTGGAGAGTTAAGAAGGTGAACATGGATACTAATTGCTACTCTTTATATGTAGTGTGTTGGTGTTGGACGAAGTGGATCAGCTGGACAGCAAAGGGCAGGATGTGTTGTACACGCTGTTCGAATGGCCGTGGCTAAACAATTCTCGATTGGTGCTTATTGGTTAGTGTTCAGTTTTACAGTTCAGTTCAATGTTACGGGATGGTTCTAAAGAATTCTTTTTTAATCTCTTCATCTTCTCTATCACCCGTTTTATGTTAAGCCAGCTTTCTGCTTTCTTATCAAAATTAAAGTTCCTATAAAATAATAGTAGTTTTAACCTAACATCAGTTTTGTTAAGTCTGAATAGAAATGCCATAAGTCTTCATTTCAGACAGTTGATTTTTGGACTATCTGGTCCTATTTATCAGTGGACAATTCTAAACCTTACTTGAACAGAACATTCTAAGATGCCTGTGTACATCTTACGTAATAAGTATGAGGGGGAGGGTGGCAAGTGAGAAGCCACAGTTAGAATTCTGGATTAACTGGAAACCTTGTTGAGCTTTCAAAGGGTTTAGTTTCCCTTTTGGGTGATTTGACTGTGATGATTGGTAGCATTTATCTCCTTCTCAGGTATTGCTAATACTCTGGATCTCACGGACAGAATTCTGCCGAGGCTTCAAGCTAGAGAAAAATGTAAGCCACGGCTGTTGAACTTTCCACCTTATACCAAAAATCAGATAGCCGCTATCTTGCAGGATCGGCTTGATCTGGTAAGTGCCACCTACTGTACTACATTCTGTATCCCTTGGATCAGCTCTGGTGGGGAAGCCTGATAATCATTCTAAAATATTTTTGCTTAGATTGCTTTCCTCAGCAGGGAGTTCTGGTGGGCCATAGTGAGAACATTATATGAATTTCCACCCCCCCAGCCTCCATTTATTGTATGCCTCAGTGTTGGAATAAAAATAAGAGAAGAATCACTCAATACTGTTTTTTTCTCTTTTTTTCAAGTTTATTTATTTTTGGTAATCTCTACATCCAATGGGGAGCTCAGACTCATGACCCCAAGATCAAGAGTCTCATGCCCTTCTCACTGAGCCAGCCAAGTGCCCCCTCAATCCTTTTTAAATGGCCTTTAAAAATAGGGCCTATGAAAAAAACTTTCTCTTTTGAAAACGACCAAGTAGAGTTTAGTATATTTTAATTTTGCTAATTTCTGATTGCCTTTTTTCCCAATTCATGAGCTTCAACCACATGCTTACAGAATGCTTAAATGTGTGAGATTTCTGTGTACTTATGAGCAAAAAAAGGCATCTCTTAGAGCCTAAAGGGTGGCCAGTCAAGTTTAGACTTAACATGAAAATATTTATGTCAGGGACCTAAATTACAGAGAGGGGGACTCTTATACTTCATGTTGTTGTCCCCTGTGTCTTGTCCAAAGGTATCTAGAGATCAGGTTCTGGACAGCGCTGCAATTCAGTTCTGTGCCCGAAAAGTCTCTGCTGTTTCCGGAGATGTTCGAAAAGCACTAGATGTTTGCAGGTGAGTTATGGCACTGTCAGTTGCTTTTATTAAAAAAAGAAATGCTGTTAATTGTCTCATGTAACTCAAGTGAATGTGGCTTAAGAGGCTGCATTCTGCCACTTTTTACACTCAGAAAGGAGGACTTGTTTCTCAGTGGGGAGCTCTGCATTTCCACCGTGTTAATGTCTGAAACATTATCAGTCCATTACCTACAGAGGGAGAAACAAATGAGATGTTGCTGGCACTCCCTGTGGTGATTATAGATTGGTTAATTACATTTGTATTAAAAAAGACTCCAGTTTACTTTTCCATTAGCTGGTCTCAAGCAGGTTTATTTATGGACCTGAACCATCTTTGCCTTTAGACTTTTTTCCCTTCCTTTGCTTTTGTGAGCACCCCTTCCTCCTGTTGGTGGTCCCCCACGGTTGTACTCCAGACCTCTCTCTCCCTTCCCATCCTCTGCCCCTCCTGCTGGGGAAAGCCTCTGTGCTGACTGATGAAATTTCTTCCTTCCCAGTAGGGACACTGGGTCCATTAAAATGATACTTGCTGTGCTGGCCCGCTGGTCCAACCTCCCCCTACTGCCATGCAAAAGATCCAGGTCTGGCTTACGGCTTCCTGTGGGCAAAGTGCTTTGGAGACAGCAGTGGGAGAGTAAGCTCTGCCTATTGCTAAAAGGCATGTTCCTGGATTTGAAAGTTTCCCCTAGTCAGCAAACTACTTGGATAAAGACTGCAACTATGAGCAATTGTCATGTAGGCTGGTGTGGTTTAGCCTACACACATCGTGTATATGTAGCCGAGGACTCCCCTTTTAGGTCCAGTGCGTATGGGTGGTACTGGCTCTCTGTAGTCAGTCACCCACCCACATAACTTCTTTTCTATCCGGGACATTTTTCCTCGTTCAAAATGTTACTGGCCTCATGTATGATGACCTACTTGGCATCTATAAGAGGAAACCATATATTGTTGAAGTTTCTTAGATTCCCTGGTCCATGAATTATTTCAAGGCAATTATTTCAAGTCCCCTTTAGCTGAGACAACCCGGTTTTGTTTGGGGGCTTTGAAACTATAAAACATGTGTCTGTTTTTGAGCTTGGTGGTTTGGTGTGGTGTTTGGTTTGGCTCAGCCTAAATTAATTTTAGAAATATTTTTTTATAGGAGAGCTATTGAAATTGTAGAGTCGGATGTCAAAAGCCAGACTATCCTCAAACCGCTGTCTGAATGTAAGTAGTTTATCTCCTTCCCGTCTTCCTTTATAATTGGAAGCTTAACTTTTCTGAGGAAAGGGGTAGAAGGATAAAATGAATATAGTTAAATCCACACTTACCCTGTTCTGTATTCTCTGGTTTTGGTCAATTTCATCTGAGTCTGGCCTGTCAGTACTAGAGTCCAGGCATTGCTGGAAATGAGCTCCCTGGGGCGTTACATAAATGGCTGGGTCATAGTAAGTTTTCTTTCTAAGCTCTAGAAATGAAAATTGTAGACAATAAGGCTTGATCAGCTTCTCTCTGGGTTCTTGTGTTGAGTGCACTTTAGGTCTTGATGTAGGTGAAAAGAAAGCCCAGTAAATAAGAGTCAGACAGTGAGAGGATCTAGTTCAACGTGGACTATCTCAACCTTTAGACAAGTGTAGGAGGGTGAAGATACAAACATGATATTGCTACAGTGGGCTGTTTGAAAAAATGACAAAATTAATTTTCCTTTCCGTTAGCCTTGTTCTCTTAGTCATGGCAGATGTAAAATGGCCCTGAACTATGTATCTTGTCAGTATTTAATATCCAGTGTTAATCTTTAGAAACGGGACAGTTTGATCTGATGGTTTCCTCTTTCACTCCTGCACTGGTTGAGTTATCAAAATTGCTTCTAGTACTATATAGTTCCCCAGGAAACTAACTTAATTCTTTTCTTCTCTTTTCTTTTTCTTTCTTTTTTTTCTTCCTTTCTTTCTCTTCCTTCCTCTCTTCTCTTTTCTTTTTTTTTTCCTCTTTATTTTCTTTTATTTCTCCCCCTCTCCCCTTCTCTCCCTTCCTCCCTTCCTTTTCATCAATTTGTTGAAAGAAAATTAAAGTATTTCAGAAGTAGCCAAACTCAGAGCATAGGTTAATGGTTTCTCTTTAACTATTCAGATTATTCCTTTTTTCTCCAACCAATAACATTTAGGTTTGTCAGTGCCCCTGTGGGCACCACTGGCACACATGTAGCTAAAGGAGGTTGTAAGCTTCTGGCATAAATTATTAGACTAACCTCATTCCTGTCTTTTGCTCTGGTATGTATGATTAGCTTTTAATGGCTCCAAAAAGCTATACGGAGGCTGACTTCAACTAAGTATAAGAAGGCACTTTCTAATAAAAGCACTAACTGGGCTTCTTTGACACATATGTGGGTTCCCTAGCTTTGAAGATACTCTAACAAAAGCTGGATAGATGATTACTGGTTGGGATTGCTTGGGGTAGGAAGCAAGAAGAGACCTCTCAATTCCTTTCAATTTAAAGATCCTGCTACTTGATCAGTGATCTCCAGTTTCTCCACTACTGCTAGTTCTCAGCAGCATCCCATTTGTGGTAACAAAATAGAAGCAAATTGCTTCGGGGCGACTGCACGTGATCTGAGGAAGTAACTTAGGCAAAGGTTGTTACAGAGCAAATCCCTCCTCTGCCTTGCAATTCATGCAACTCCAAACAATGAGGCCATAGTCCTAGACATCTTGTTGGCAGTTTCCCAACCTCCGCCTCTGAGATGGTGCTATCTGCTAAGATATCCAATTACATTTTCTCAAGTGTTGCTCTACTGTAGATCAGCTTAGGCAAGTGAACCATACTTCAAAGGTCACTTAGGGAGGCTATCTAGAAGACTTATGTAGGATTCCCTTTACTGTCCACATTTAGCCACTCATTTGATTCAAGGTATTAGGTAATTCTTACAATTTTTTTTCCTGTCTTAATAACCAGGCACAACCATCCTTGCTTCAAGGTTGTTGTTTTTTTTCATCTTCAAGATACTAAGAACTTCCCAAGGCAGAATACAGTAGTTCTCTGTCTAGTCCTTCTTTCCTGAGGTGGATTTTGTCCCCCTGACATTAAATTGCATTCCACAGGACAAAACAGCTTATGGTTCTGCCCAGAAAAAGGAAAACTCCATTTTCCAAGTCATAATCTTTCTGAGGATGGCATTATCTCTCATCCTTTGGCTTCTAGTTACAGAGTTGGAACCTCCACTTTGGCCATCACATGACTGCTCTTGAATTTCCTTCAGCTAAACCTTAGTATCATCTGTCTCAATACACACAATATTTTAAAATTTTAATTAAGCTTGATTTATTTACTTTTTAGGTAAATCACCCTCTGAGTCACTGGTTCCCAAGCGGGTTGGTCTTATTCACATATCCCAAGTCATCTCAGAAGTTGATGGTAACAGAATGACTTTGAGCCAAGAAGGGGCACAGGATTCCTTCCCTCTTCAGCAGAAGATCTTGGTCTGCTCTTTGCTGCTCTTGACCAGGCAGCTGAAAATCAAAGAGGTCACTTTGGGGAAGGTGAGTTGAGAATCTGCTCTGCAGAGCAGATATTGTCCAAAAGGCCTATTATGCTCCAGCTGATACAAATTAAAAATGGATTTTTAACAGTAAAAATAAATAGTGGTACCATATAAAAGGCAACTGGCTTTATTTCCCTTGGGTTGTGGTTGAGAATTTCCCATTAATCTCCTCCTCTTCATTTCTTCGTCTCCCTAAGAAATATAGAGCTCCTCTCCTGCATTATAGTATATATAGGTTTTGGCAATGTCTACAGTATGCTTGGTCAGTGATTTTATTGAAAAGAGGGAAAATTGGGGATTAGGGTATTCAGATTACTTCTACAATTGCGAACTCACTTTTTTTTTTTTTAAAGGTTATAAAGTTACAAAAGATAGAACTTTTAAACAACTTTTATTCTTCCTTGTTCCCCCCAGTTGTATGAAGCCTATAGTAACGTCTGTCGCAAACAGCAGGTGGCAGCTGTGGACCAGTCAGAGTGTTTGTCACTTTCAGGGCTCTTGGAGGCCAGGGGCATTTTAGGATTAAAAAAAAACAAGGAAACCCGCTTCACAAAGGTACAACTAACTGCTTCTTGGTGATAATGCTTTTAATTGTCCTGTTTTGGAGAACTTATCTTTTGCTAAAGTAAAGATTTAAATATGACCACAGTTAGGTAAGCAATTTGTTTTTTGTTTAGTAGAGTTTAAGATTTGTGAGGATGGGGGAGGGGTGCACTAGGTCGTGATCTATGTCTATGGTCTATGAGTTCAAACCCTGTATCTGAGCTGTGACGTCTCAGAGCCTGGAGCCTGCTTTGGATTCTGTCATTCCCTCTCTGCCCCTCACATGCTTGTACTCTGTTTCTCTCTCAAAAATAAGTAAACATTAAAAAAAAAATCTGTGAGGATGGGACAGGTGGTATGAATGACATATTTTCTGCAGGCCATTGAAAAAGCAGTGTTTAGGGGTGCCTGGGTGGTTCAGTCGGTTAAGCATCCAACTTTGGCTTAGGTCATGATCTCACAGTTCATGGGTTTGAGCCCTGCATCAGACTCTGTGCTGACAGCTAGCTTATAGCCTGGAGCCTGCTTCGAATTCTATGTCTCCCTTTCTCTCTGGCCCTCCTCTGCTCATGCTGTCTCTCTCTCTCTCTCAGAAATAAATAAAACATAAAAAAGGAAAGAAAAAGCAGTGTTTAAGCTGCTTTCCTCTTGTGACAAAAATTCAACATGGTAGATATGTATGTGATAAAAACTTGCCTTTGTGAGTTCTCCATCATGAAAAGTCCTTTTCTCTTCTTTCCAGGTGTCTTTGAAGATTGAAGAGAAGGAAGTAGAGTATGCTCTAAAAGACATAGCTTTAATCGGAAATATCTTAGCTACTGGATTGCCTTAAATTCTTTTCTTTTATACTAATAACGCTACCCAGCTGAAAGTATCCAGCTGGCATTCAGAGAGCCATGGAGTCTTCATTTTAGGACTTTATCCATTCAGGTCTGAAAACAATATGACCTTTTTTTAATGTGAAACTGATAAATTTTTAATCTATGGATTCATGAATATTCGTGCAGAATAATAATTTGGGGTCTTATTTTATGCATTAAAAATTACCAAGTAGACCCCTTGTAATTATATTCACTACCTCCACCCCTTGTGTGTTTCTAACCAATATGCTTGTATTGCAGTACACAAAATTTTATGTTGTGGAATGTGCCTGTATATTTATCTCTTAGTTTCTTCAGACATTGGTGTATTTTTAAAGAACTTTGGGGCTAGAGTAAGAAGAGAGAAAAAGGATGTTGCAGGAAAATAAGCAAGTCCACATGGAGATCTGGAAGACGCTTTGATCAAAGAATTTTTCTTTTTGGAGGATACTGTGTTCACGTTGCAAGTGCTTCCAGACTGTGACATTTTAAAGACTCATTGAGCTTCTTGGGCACTCCCAAGGCTGTGGGGGTGCTAAAGGGACAGTAAAACTGTACAGATTGTGAATATATTTATTGTCAAGTTGCATCCTTTGTCTTTTTAAGCATTCACGTTTCAAGAGAGCTCAGACTTCAGAAGACCATGTGAAAATTTCTCCCCAGACTGTCTCACAGTCTTAGCTACCCTCATGAAGCCACTTGTTTCCAGATGCTTTCGTTTGGGGTTGGATTTTCTTCTGAACCTCAGATTTTTCCAGTCTTATTAGATAAATTAATCCATATGGCCACTCAAGTCTCCCCTTTGCTGCATTTGGTTTCCCGTGGCATTCAATGGTAATTTGTGACAGGGACACCAGAGGGCACCATTATAACACTGACTGCCTTAAAACTGCAGGCTTGGGGCTGGGTTAGTTTTGAGAGAAGGGGTAGAAAACTTCAGTTGATCCCTTTGGGAGATTGCTATACTTTTATAACTTGGGCAGATGCTTGGAATGCAAAGCATGTGCGATGTGAATGGTCTGAGAGCCAGTGACCAAGTCGGTCCTTCTCCCTGAGCTCTTTTGCCTCTCGGACAGGATTGCGTTTGGGAACTTGATATTGTACAAATGATCTGTTGGCCACTGTTTCATTCATGCTGCCCACTGTATCCTTGCAATGTGATCTGGGCCACAGCAGATGGTATAGGTTAGAAGAACACGCAGAGAGAGCCCTCTGAAATGAGCACTTCCCACCGGTGGGTGTGGCAGAGCATAGTCTGTCCATGAGAGTCTGAATGTCGTTCTCGCCTTCTCGCCTTTACCAGGGCACTCCCTCCCTCTGAGGGTCATGTGTGAGTGGAAAACACAGTTCTGTACCTAGAAGCCTGAGAGTGTCTGGGGCTACAAGGGTTAACGAGCATAATTGTGAAGATTGTCCGAAGGCTGATGGAAAGCAGAGACTGAATGGGATTGAGAACAGATGCGAGGCTTGATTTAAATTACATTTTATTGGATGCTGCAGCCTTAAGAGACGTGACTGCTTTACAGTTTGTTTCCACACTGTGGGCAGCTGCTGTCTGTTCTGTGTCCACAGTAGGATCCTGCCCAAAAAGGAGCGGCCTCCCCACCTCGTTGTGTTTGAGGCTTGGCGCCTTTCTCTTAACTGTACGGCTTGAGTCAGGAACATGGCTTGACTCGCAGTGGGGCTGCTATGTATCCTCTGTGGCTCTGAGCCAAGATCGCATTTGCAGATTCTTAAGGGCCAGATTTCTTTCCCCTCTACCTCTTTTCTCTCCCTTTCCCCTGGTATTTGGAAATAGGGTTTTCTGTGTACTGGTTTGTTAGTTTCCTTTCCTTCAGTTCTCCCCCCACTGTCAATTTCTAGGTCATTGCTGCTCTTAAGACTTCAGCAATTGGAACAGGGTTGGTTCTGTCAATGATGCGTGAAGCAGACTTAGAGTCCCTGCTTGGCTTCCACTGCCCTTGTGGGAGCAAAAGCTGATGTATGTTTATCAGTGAAGTTTTAAGTGTAATTCAGACAGCCAGGGAGCAGACTGAGAGGAGGAAGAAAGTCCTTTTCTTCCTGACGTTTCTCAGTGAAGCTGAGAGCTCTGGGAAGGTAGTGGGATTTTTAGAGGGATGGGCTGGACTTGCGGTTACTAGTTTTTGCCAGGATCGTAGCCTGTTTCATATAGAGTAGTGGCAAAGATGCTGACCTACATTCTTCCTCTTGAAGGTGGTGGGGTGTGTGTCTAAATCCTGATTTATTTTTCTTCACAGAAGCAGATTAAGCTTCCATAGAGTGTTGATGGGTATTGCCATGGAAAGAACATAGACACCATAAAATTGGTGTGTTTCAACCCCAGAGCTGCCGCTGACATTTCTGGCTCAGTGAAGACTTGCCTGTGGCTAGATAGCTAACTGGCAAGAGTGTGTGAGGTCCAAGCTACCCATCCCCCATCCATTGCTCCCTGCCTTTATATATTTATTTTTTAAGTGTTTTATTTATTTTGAGAGAGAGAGAGGGAGATCACAGAATCCGAAGCAGGCTCCAGGCTCTGAGCTGTCAGCACAGAGCCCGACATGGGGCTTGAACTCACAAGACTTGAGATCATGACCTGAGCTGAGCTGAAGCCGGACACCTAACCCACTGAGCCACTCAGGCGCCCCTGCTCCCTGTCTTAAGTGCCCTTTTAAGGTCGACCAATAAGAACTGGGTGGTAGCATTGAGTTACTTCTCCAGGATCTTCAAAAGTATCTGTGTAGAGGTGTTGCCTTGACTACCAAGGGAGACTAAAAGAGAGAGCCAAGTTTGAGATGTTACTTACATTTGTGTCTGTCCCCAGCACCTAGTACAGCATCTGGTACTTGGTAGGTATGCAGTCAACAATGGCTGAATGATAAATAAACCAAGGAAGATGCTGCCTTTCCCTCCATCTTGAGGCCAGTTATCAGGAGGTAAACACTGCTGGTGTTTCTGCACGGAGGTGGAGCAGGCCCCTGTAAAAGATGTGTCTTGACACATTGTGGAGCGTTTATTGGTCTCACAGATGCGTACCAATCACTCCCTCTGATGTAGTGGCATTTTGCTTGAGGCAACTTCCACGCTGCTCCCAGGAAACCTCGGATTTGGTCTGAGAGAGTCCTACCTAAGGGCTGGGAAGATGGGCACCTGTCTGGATGTTACCTTGAATCCCTAGGGATTGGCCGGAAGCTGCGCCTCTATTTGGGAAGGGATCAGAGAGGAACACACCCTTTGTGTTCCACTTTTTAACTTTTGAGGAAAGTGGTGATCTCAGGTGTCTCCTGAAAATGTGAGGTCCCCTCTAAGACATCGCTTTCAAGCTGCAAACAGCACTGGTCTCCCTCTTCTCAGAAGTCCATTCCGTAGCGGGAGAAGGTGTGCCCTCTGGCCTCCCTTGATTTTCAACCCCAGCCCCAAGGCACTAGCAGTAAAGCTAATTGGGTGCAAGAGGCCTGGGTAGAGGCTGTCTGAAGACTGGGGAAAGGAGAGAGCCAGCTCCTTATTTAAAAAGCTCTAATTGAGTTCTGAATCAGCCTCCCTCTCTTTGATCCCTCCTCTGTTTCCCACACTGCCTGAAAGAGCTAGATCAGCACTTTATAACAAGGGTGCGCCTGCTCCCCACACCACCCCCCCCTCCCGACGCTCTCTCCGCTGCCGCCATCCACCGCTTGTCTCCTTCAGTTAAGATAATGAAGATGCTGAGAGATAAAATGTGTATTTAATAAGGGTGGGGGTAGGGAGGCGGAAAGGGGCAGCCAGGGCCTTCCCTAGTTTGGGGCCTAGCCAAGACTCAAGCTGAAAGCAAAGCTGGAGTAAGACTTGGCCCCAGGGTGTGGGGGTTTCTGGGCCTCAATCCAGCTGACTTCACTGCCTGCTGTTTGCCCTAAATTCCCCCACCTCCACCCTCTCACCCCCACACTCCTTTCTTTCCTCTCTCCTTGCTCCCCATGGGGAAAGGGAATCTTGCTTCAACTTTATTTTCAGCCGGTAACTTGGCCTTTGGTGTGGTGCCCCCAGCCTCCCAAGTCAGCTGCAAGGTCGGGCTAGGGCAGCCCCCTCTAGCTTAGGCCTGTAGAAGCCTTGGGTTCGCGGTGGGGGGTGAAAAAAAAAGCTGCAGTTAATGAAGACCAGCTGCTAGTCTGGGTTCTGCCTGCAGTTAGCTGGAGGCCAGCCTTTGGTGGTGGTTGGAGGTACTGGGGTGCGTGACCTCCGTCCCTGGACACAAGGATATCCTGTAGCAGCTGAGGCTTGTGCTCCTCTCTGAGCTCGGTTTTATCCTTAGTTTGTAAGAGAAGAGTCTGTTTCCCTGTTGCCCTACTCCTCCCCTCTCCAAATAACACTCGCCCCTTATTGGGCTTTATAACTGTAGTGGCGGCCCAGCTGAGATCTGAGGATCTCCAAGTTCTTTTGTAAACACTCATTAACTGCCTGGGAAGAACCAAGAGCCCTGGTTAACAGCTGGGAGAGAACTGAGGCACGTTAGGGAGAAAGGCTTGACCTGAGCTCACCCCATGGACTCCACCCTGGGGCCTCCATCCTTCCTGTCTAGCTCCTTTCCTCAGTAATTCCTATGAGGGGGAGAAAGAGGTAGATGCAACACTGCTGCCCTCTCCCCTTCTAGGAAGAGGCCACGCTTTCTCCCTGCCCTCCAATCTGTCCCTGACTATCTCCCGCCCCACTGTGGCCCTTCACCCCATGACACTTTCCCTGCTCTGCTGCTGGAGATACGTGCAACTCGCCTTGCAAAATAGTCTCACTCCAGCCCTCTGCAGCCCTCCAATCCATTTTTTCCCAGCCCACCAAACTCAAACCCCAGTGCCTCCTTTTGAGCTACTTGGGAAGATCACCTATCCTAAACTGGGTCTGTAACCTTGAAGCTGATTTAAGAGGCCCCTCTATCCCCTATATTTATCCCAAATGGTAGTTGGGAAAATATTCTTTCCTTACCGTATTCATTCTGATAAAGTTTCAGGGTCTATTAAGGGCTGGGTAGCAGCACAGTTGACCCCTAGGTTCTGCATCTCGTCTCATCCTTCCGCTGACAATTGCCATTTCTGGTGGTGGATGTACTCCAAAGTCCCCCAGCTCCACCCGCTCACACTCTCACCTGTATGTGCATGTCTGCCCACTTCAGCATACTCCCAGGCACACACCCCCCAGCCAGGATATGAAACTCTACCAGTTTCCAACTGCCATCCATGTCTCATTGCCCTTTTACTTGTGGGGAAATTGCGCCCCCCCCCCCCCCGTGGCCTCCTAGGTACTTAGGAATAGTGGGGAGGGAGGCGAAATTGTGCTATGTCTCTGATGGGTGGGATAGGAGGGAGCACCTGTCCAAACTGAAGGCCTCCATTCCCAAGTTCTCAATGGCTAAGCAGCTTAACGGGAGTGGTAAGGAAGGAAATCTTAACCCCCATCTTCAGCACCAAAGCCCAAATCATCTGCTAGGGGCAGGCAGGAGGAAACGTCCTTTTCCTCCTGTCAAATATTATCCTATCTTCAACTAAAGTCATCCGTGTGCTGTGTATTTGAGCCTCTGGGCTGTTCCGGTCCCCAGCCCATGACTGAG